TTCCTGATCTTCAGCTCGATCACCCCGACTTCTGCCTTCACCTCCACATGGCAACCTACCTGGGTGTGTACGTGCGGATGTGTTTGTGCACGTCTGTGTCCACGGTCAGCTATGTGGGAGTCCAGTGACATAGCCATTACGCTAACTGCTGGTTCCCAGACACCTTTTTTCCCTATCCCTGATGAAGGCCATTTCCTAGTACTCCTGCAAATCCCAGAGGACCTGAGGAGTTTCTCTCAATTCTTATCTCTGCCATTCCTGTACTCTGCACTGGTGACAGGGAACTCCTCTCTCAACTCCCCTTTCCATCCCTTAATAGAAGACAGACACTGGGTCTCTCAGTGGAGAGTATCAGGAGGCCTCTGTCAGCTATCCAGATTGCCTTCAGACTTGGCAGGCTGCTAGGAGAAGGCTCAACTCTTCTAGTTCAACCTCTTGCCCTGCTAAGGTTCGGTCTTGTGTTTGCACCTCAGGCAGGAGAGGACCCGTGAGTCCTCCTGTCTCTGCTACCTGATCAGACAAAGGCCAGAACACAGGAGCACTTCTGTCAACTCCTACTGTCCACCCTGGGCCTGCAGCAGACATCATGTACCCACTCTCACAGGGTGTGCCTCTCGGTTCTCTTGCCCTCATACATATTTTAAGTAGAGATCAGTGAAAAAGAGATGAGAAGTTAAGATACCCTTTGGATTTGGAGCACTTAGGGATGCTCAAAAAAAAAAAAAAAAAAATTTCAGAAATGAAAGAAGTTGTGGAACCTATATACACTAGTTGGTGTCATACTTGGATTGTATTTCATTCAGTTACTTACTCTTTGGGCCTTTTTCTTGGACAGGCTAAAATAACTGATTTTGGGGACCAGCAGTTGGTGTAATGACTATGTGGCTGGACTCCCACATAGTCGAGCATGGTTCGAGTTCTGGACCTGGTGGCTTAAACTCACACCGGGCGCGTGTGCGTGTGTGCCCAAGATCCCGAGAGGAGAATAGAGGAGAAGGGATTGCGGCGTGACCATCCCCCCTGGGGGGTGATTTCTCGCTTTCTGTCTTTCTGACAAGCGACATACCCTATAACAAAAACCTCTCCCCAAAACCTGATTTTGTAAGTTATTTGACTTACTTTTATTATTAGGTTCGGAAGGGTCTTCTCTGTTTACAGTTTCCTAC